TGAGTGAGTGAGTGAGTGAATGAATGAATGAATGAGTGAGTGAACGAGTGAGTGAGTGAATGAATGAATGAGTGAGTGAGTGAGTGAGTGAGTGAATGAATGAGTGAGTGAATGAATGAATGAGTGAATGAATGAGTGAGCGAATGAATGAGTGAATGAATGAATGAGTGAGTGAATGAATGAATGAGTGAGCGAGCGAGTGAGTGAATGAGTGAGTGAGCGAATGAATGAGTGAGCGAGCGAGTGAGTGAGTGAGCGAGCGAATGAATGAATGAGTGAGTGAATGAGTGAGTGAATGAGTGAGTAAACGAGTGAGTGAGTGAGTGAGCGAATGAATGAGTGAGTGAGTGAGTGAATGAGTGAGTGAGTGAATGAACGAGTGAGTGAATGAATGAATGAGTGAATGAGTGAGTGAGTGAGTGAATGAATGAGTGAGTGAGTGAGTGAATGAGTGAGTGAATGAGTGAATGAGTGAGTGAATGAATGAGTGAGTGAGTGAATGAATGAGTGAGTGAGTGAGTGAGTGAGTGAATCAACGGGTCAGCGGAGCTCCGGCGCAGCAAGGCTGCGAGTAAGCTGATCCCCGCAGCCCGCAAGTCCTGGCTTATGTGTTGATGTCAAATCCTCCACATTTTGCAGGTGTTTCCCCAGGAAATGCTGATGCCCGAATATCGCCATAAAGGTGAGTTTCTCCGTTTCAGCGACAGCCCTGCCCACCACTGTCACCACCAGGAGGGCAGGTACGTCCCTTTTGTGGGATAAATGTAAGTTAAATGGTTAATGTTTCCCACCGAGCGCCCCAGACAGCTCCCTGCCGGTCCGCCACTTCTTCAGCGAGGGACCAGCCTTCTCCGGCCGCGGGTGACTTGGGGTGATGTGGGCAGAGCACCCGTCTCGACAGCCCCAGGCGACGGTTCAGTGTGAGGTGCTCCTCTCCTGACCCCTCCACTCCCGAAACCCAGAGCGGAGCTCGGAGGGTGCGGCCCCACCTTCTCGTCACTGACACCGTCGTTGTCGTCGTCATCATCACAGGCGTCCCCAATGCCGTCCTTGTCGAAATCTTCTTGCCCGGAATTGGGCAGGAGTGGGCAGTTGTCCTGCGACCAGAGGAAGGACATGGTTATAAAACATCCCCGGAGCCCTTCCTAAGGGGGGCAGGCAAACAACTGGGGGGCAGAGTGAAGATGCTGAGGGCACACCTGCCTCCCCGAGCGCAGAGGGGGGAGCGACCCCGCCGCGAGGCCAGGGGCGTGGGGCTCAGCTCTCAAGGGCTGCCCTGGAAGCTACGTCACCCCCAACGAGAGGAGACGGAGGAAGCTGTGGACAGGGCCAAGCACCTAATGAGGGGCCGTCCACTGCTCTGAGAAAACGTGGACGCAGACGGAGCCCCTGTGTCCCCTCCTTCCCCTGAACTTCAGCTCATCCACCTGGGCACAGCTCCCCCAACGTCACCCTTGGGAGCCAGAGGGCCAGATTCTGGGACCTCGAGGCGACCTGCTCAGAAACTGAGGCTCAGGCTCCAAATCACCGCCTGGCTCAGTGTTTCCGAGACACAGGTGACTTGCGTAACGAGTCACAGGTCAGGTTTATAAATACTATAAATCACAACCGAGCTGCACAGACACCGACAACGCGAGGGACCTGGAAACACTGGAGAGGGGAGGCAGTGAAGGCTGCGTTTCTGCGACGGTAACATGGGCACCACGGAGTTGGGGGGCATGCAATGGGTGGCATGGCCCACGGCCCATGTCTCCAAGGAAGCTGCTCCCAGGGCACCATCTGAGCCCAGATTCAATGCCAGCCCATAAGGAGGGAGAACGTTCTGGGAGGGGTGGGGGTGGGGACACCTGGGGGTACGTCCGCTGAGGATACACAGGAGCCCCTCAGACCAGCTGTGGGGTTCCAGTAACCGTCTCCCTTAGCTCCTATTTACACTCATAAGGTGGGTTTATAGTTAGGACCTGCAAGGTGCCATTTTTTTAGTGACTGAATTCCTGTCTGAAAGTCCAATGAAGAAAAAATCAGGGTGTCCTTATGGCAGTCTCAGCTTCATGGGCACCGTCTGTTAGCCCGACCCTGAGCCCCAGGGTGTGGCTGACCCCAATAGAGACCTCCAGCAACAATCCCACCCACAGGCGCCCTCCCTGGGACCACCGGGCTCGACCCCGAGCTCAACGGGGAACTGGCAGGTGGGTGGGCGGGAGATGGGATGGGCCCAGCCACTCCAGAGCCAGTCACTGTGTCCCGTCAACACCTGCCATCCACAACCAAGGCAGACAGGAGGAGCGAATTCCAAATAAAACTGACTACCCCACAGTCATGAGAACGAATAGACATAAATATTAAGCAGGCTTATACGTGCAGATGTTTTGCACGTGTGTCATCCACATTTCTGAAGCTATTAAGACATGAAGCCAGCTCGGCCAGTGGCTCGACTGGTTGAGCATCGCGGACACACGTTCCTCTGTCTCTCCCCCCCATCTAAGCGCGCCCTCGGGCACGGGTTAAATAAATAAATAGAAAGGCACTGGCACCTTCGGGGCACCTTGCAGAGTGGCCTCGTGCTGATTTCTAGAACAGGCCGCAGCCTGATCTCTGGAACCTACAGTGTCACTTTGTGCGGGAAACGGGGGAGTGTCACCTTCCACAGCAAAACGTGCGACTGAGTCAAGGGTCTGGAAGGAGTTTCCTGGTGTCTCTGGTGGGCCCCAAACACCAGCACCTGTGTTCTTACCACAGGGAGTCAGGGGGCTGGGGGCAGGCACGGGGAGGGAGAGGGCGGTAACAGGCCAGAAGCAGAGGCTGGAGGGAGGGAGGTGGCCGCAGGCGGGGGCCCTGGGCCACCAGCTGCTGGGAGCTGCCCCGAGGG